GGGGGGGGGGGGCAACCCCTGCTCACCTTGCCGAAACATGGAATTTTTCCTATCAAATTATCTAAAATATCCATATAATTTCCTAACCAAGATGCCAAACAATCAAGAAAGAGGATGTATAATCTCATGGTAATGATATAAAATTTCATAGTATATTAAATATGTAACATGTTTCGAAAATATAACGTGAGAAATGTTGTACGATAGCGCCCTGGCTCAAAGGATGTTAGGCATTTTGCACAACTGGATATTTTTAGCTCGCCTTGCAGGGTTCTCCAAGCTTTTTCATTATAGCAGGGGGGTGTTGCTGCCTTTACGTCACTAGTTGCCAAATTGCCAAAGGCGGTTGCATGTAGGGGGTTCGGGCTAATGATATTTTAGCATGTGGCTTGATATTTAGAGTGGCGGGTGCATTTTAGCATGGCGGCGCTCGACGATAGCCTGGCGGGCCGCCAGGCTATTAAGTGCTCTTTTCGGACGACCCTGCCTTGACATCGTCAAAGATGAACTATTTTGCCATGGTGTGTGTCGTCTGTCGTCGTCAACATTGGCTATGCTAAGTCAACAGATCACTCTAGAACCAATAGGCTATGAAATTTTTTTATCATTACCATGAGATTCTACATCCTCTTTCTTGATTGTTTGGCATCTTGGTTAGGAAATTATATGGATATTTTAGATAATTTGATAGGAAAAATTCCATGTTTGGGCAAGGTGAGCAGGGGATGCACCCCGCCCCCCCGAGGGGGGGACTCCCTACAAAATAGGGTAGGTATGTGCCACTTGAGAGATGGAACTGGGGGGCTCCGGTACTAACAGCACATCAAAATGGGGGGTCTCTGGAACTAGGGTTTGCTGGAAAGCATGATGCTCCGGAACTGGACATGTTTGCGAGAAGGGGTTTCCGGAACATGCGGAAAAAAAGTAGGACATATGCGCAGATGGAAAATATGTAAAAAAGGGGTCTCCGGAATGGGAAATATGTAAAAAGAGGTCTCCGGAATTGGAAATATGTAAAAAGGGGGTCTCCGGTGCGGAAAATGTAGACCTATGCTCCGAGACGAGAAATATGTGAAAAGGGGGGTCTCCGTAACTGGAAATAGTTGAAAAGGGGGGTCTCCGGTGAGGAAAAAGTAGGATCTATGCTCCGGGACAGGAAATATGTGAAAAGGGGGTCTCCGGTGCGGAAATTTTGAGGTGAAAGGGGTCATAACCGCGGCACATACCTACCATGCAATATATAGGGAGAGCCCCCCCTCGGGGGTTCCACAAACTTGGAATTCATAGTCATAGGCCAGGAGCAGGGTGCTCAAGGATAGAGCCTATTGATGTCCAGTAATAAACATCATCTCTATCCTTGAACCGGCCAGGGTATCAACAGTTATATCATCAGAAAGAGTTCCTATATCAGTAATGAGATGCAGGAAAGGAAGACTTGCGAGCTGCACTCCTTACTGAAATTTCAAAATATCATGTGTACCTTGTCTGAAGCTGGAGAGTAGAATCCTGGAACTGTCGTTGGATTGATGGCAGTTTTCTTTGTGGTCTGTATAGTGATCGTCGATTTCGGTTCAGTGCGGATGTGACTGGTGCCAACATGCTCCTTCTCTAGTTGATACGTGAGCGCTAGAACCTTGATGTCGACCGCTGAGAGGGATCGGTAATCTCCAGTCTTTTTCGAGAAATCAGTCACTATAAAAGCAAATTACAATTGAGCGTTTAAAACATCAGAGCTCTTGAAATAAAGCAGATTTGCCAAAATTGCATTTCTAATGGTGGATTGTGTATGGTTATTATGCCGAAAGATGCAAAACATTAACAATGAATGTATGGCACTGCTGAACACTAAACATTTCTGGATAACCAGCACGTTTAAAACTATTATAGCAATCATATTATCCTTCATATATATTCTTGATCATGCTGTATAGTTAAACTATTTAATGGCTATTGTTAAGATTAAAATCAATACTTTGGTTATCTAATACAAAACTTCATATATTCAAACAAGGAGGACTACTTTTCAAACTAATTCTTTGTTACAAAACTAGTGAAATCACCAAATTTGATGGCTTCCTGTGACGGCTGACGAAAATGGAGTTCATATGAGAGCACTTGAAGATTCTGTCTTGTTGCCTTATCTCGAATTTCACTGACTACCTCAGCAATGCTGTAGATATTATTACCAATATCCTAGAAAATATAGACAGTAATGCTTATTAAATTATTTACAATACAAAACACATACGTGTTATTTCATTTTGAATAGTCTATTACCATATAGACTATTATTTTTTATCACTTTTGCTGGAAGTATAACAGCCTCAGTGGCTCAGTGACTAGGCAGTGCCCAACAAGCTCATGTTTTAGCTTGTAGGTTGCCAGTTAAATCACTAGTCAGGTTAATGACTTAATTATCTCAATATATAAAAACCTAACTCTGTAAATTAAGAACTCTTAAATCCTCGTGGCTTAGAAAACCACATAAAATGACTGGCACATCTAGAGTAACAAGAAGATAAAAGAACAACTAAGGACATAAAAACCAGGTTCTTGTACTGACCACCTTCAGTATCGCTGACAATAATCCTAAGTATGATAAAGGCTATTGACCGAACATGCCTCGAAAAAGAGCTAAATATGAATTTATTGTGCTATGGGCAGGTTTAAATATTTGGCTGGGTATTGCAGTAAATTAGGCCTGTACGATAACTCTGCAGGAACAATGTGAGTTTTACAACTCGGTACCATCTCCCCAATTTTGATCAGCACAACAATCAGCACGGGCAACAATTACCGGTCAACGTTGTCCCCTAAGGAGAAGATCAAGCTGTGCTGTTACGAAGTGTGCATGCTACGAATGCCCTAAATCAAAACTTGTGGGTCCACCCCCTTAAATTCATGTTGCCTATTAAGACGCAGACTCGGAGCACTGCACTGGCAGTATGGCAGTGACAATGACTATATCGCATTGACAGTGTGAAAGTGTGGATGTTGTACCCAAACTTGGAACAGCCCTCGATACTAACGGTTGTCCGATTGCCCGGGACAAGTTATTCTCTTGGCTAGTTGCCCGATCAGACAACTAAATGAAAGTGTCAATGACACTGTAGCTCACCTTGGGTGTGATAGAAGAGAGAGGGGGGATATCATATATAAAGCAAGAGTATGTATATGGAAGAAACTCCCATTATATCTCCCATTATATACTCTTGATAATGATATATGCATAAGTTTTAATGCGAAAATAAATGTTTCAGATCTGACTCTGAAATCTTGACGAGAGATGGTGATACGCCTAAATGATCGCCATTTTGATTTTCGAATATCGTGCAAATAAAAACAATAAAATATTCCAGTCAAATTAGTGTAACGAA